TTACCTTTATAGTAAGAGAAGAATAAGAATAAACAATCTTTTTAGTTTTAATTTCACTGACCATTACTATTGACAAAACTCTATGGCACGCTAGACAATCTACTTTTATTTTTTACACCTGTCAACACTGACAATGTTGTAACGTTGCTGTCAAAACGTGAATTCAAAATAGAAAAGTCTGTGTAATGTATTCCATCTCATTCTTTTACACGTTTAATCCATTTGTCTCTTTCTACATAACGCCTCAACTTTTCGTGTTACACTTGATTTTACTCCTAATAAAATTTCCGTACCGGGCCTTATAACTCAAATCGTTTCTTAAGGAGTAAACTCCAAAAATAATATAATAAATAATTTAAAAACCTAATGGCGTATTGTTTGTTAAGATTTGCGATCTTTTGTTTTTTTATCTAATTAAAAAGCTAGTAAAGCAAATCAAAATCTTTTTTTTAAATAAAACTTTAGGAAACTAAAGGACTCTAGATATCATGCAATACAAAAATAAAACGCATAAGGATATTTATTGAATACGTTATAACATACACACACAAGATGTTCGAATTTTAAATCGAACCCATCTAATGAACCATCGCTATTATAATACAGTAGGTCAATTCGAAACAATCAACGGACGTACCTCCCGGGCGCCTTATCTGTGCCGATACCCGAAACAAACAAATTCAATTAGGATTAAGAAATTAAACATAAAAGATGCCGCAGATATTCCCCGATTTGAGGTCATCGCACTCGCTATCGAATTACGCATAAAAGTATTTCGTCCATTTTCTTTTACGATACCATTTCAGATCAATGCACTTACGAAACTATTGAACGATAATATTATTGTTAATGTCTTTATTTAAATGTGTATAAATAATAATAATATTTTTTTTTGTATGTTACTCGTTTTATGCTTTTACTTTTATTTACTTGGTTTGTAATTAGAGCAGTCATGGTTATCTCTATGGCCGTTATGGAGAGAAATGTGGCACTTGTTGTCACACTATTACCGTACTAGCGTTATATTTATGACCTCGTAGCATAAAATAGTAGCATTTGATGGCTACTTTCGTAGAGAAAATTGTTCGTAGAGAAATTTGATGACCATGTTGTTTTAGTCGTAGGTAATTTTAAACACAAAATTAAAAATTATAATAACATGTATCGTGCAGTTCTGTTCTGCATTACACTGTTTTTATGAAATCACATGTAAAACTAAAATCTATATAAATTTTATTAAGCAGTGTTGGCCTAGTGGCCTCATCGTGCGACTCTTATCCCTTAGGACGTAAATTCTATCCCCGGCTGTGCACCAATGGACTATTTCTCTGTGCGCATTTAACATTCGCTTGAACGGTGAAGATAACATCGTGAGGAAACCGGCTTGCCTGAGACCCAAAAAGTCAACGTCGTGTGTCAGGCACAGGAGGCTAATAATTACCTATTAGATTGACAAATGATCATGAAACAGATACATAAATCTGAGGCCCAGACCTAAAAGGGTTGTAACTGATTATTTTATTTGATATAAATTTTATATGAGTCTAATTATTTAAATAATCTCGTTGATTCTTCAAAATAATGTTAATACTTTGTAATGCCTCCAATATCTTTATCGCAATCCATTACGAAATGTATTTCAGCAGAGTCTTATCAGAAACCAATCAATAAATGATATACGTCACATTAAAACATACAACCTGTAATGAAACGCGATCGAACTCTAGCCGGCCGGCGATCCCTATTTGGATATCAGATAACAAATCAACACCGCCCCGACATGACATAAACAGAATCTAAAAGGAGCCCAACAACTTTCCTTCCCGAGTGTTCTCGGGCACTCACACTAGCTGACACTGTCGTTTTCAATGATGTTCTATCAAATTACGGGTAGCCAGTGAAATGTGGGAACATTTTCTTACATTGATAATAGGTATCAGGGTGAAATTGAGGCCCGGGGCGGTAATAGCCCACTATTTGTAAGTTTTCACTGCTCGTTACGCGCCATTGCGTGATGCTGAAGATACTGACGGCTGTTAAATAGAAACCGTATAATGTCATCCTGTTTGCTTGTCAGATACTGGGGATTAATTTGCAGTGTCCACTACTTTAAGTAGAAAATGTTGTTAGTTAATTGCTTGTGTACTTGCTTGTTTATTATTGGGCTAGTCATTTATATGGTGCCGCCCCGGGGTATGTTTTTGTTTTGAATAGAATTAAATTGTGATTGGATAATAAAGAAACTTAAGACGAACTAGTCTTAACAAGAACTAGTCTTGTATGATGTGTTCAAAATGCAATATTTCCTTAAGAATCTATTACTTTTTAATTGCATTTTTCTAGTGCAAAGCATACGTGTAAGCATAATAATACGATATTTTATTTATACTGCTTTAGAAAATATATAACAGATGTATAAAGATTCCGTGACGAGTTCCCGATGAAATGACAGTTAGCTAGAAGGGATCGGTGAACCCATTACAAGAGGGCACGACCGGCGCGCGCCGCGGGCACCGATCAACTGAGGAAGTGAATACCTGATGCTACGATGCGCACGCGCTGCTTTTGCATAAAAGGCAATTTTTACGACCATAAATGATCTATCGAGCTTTTAAATCATAAACAACTGAAGGCTGACTGTAAGTTATCGCTATAAAATGTACTGATTTTAACAGAATAGATTTAATTTTCAAAATGAAGAATGGCATTCTAAATTTAAATCTTTCGTTTGCAGAATGCAAAAATAAAGAAAAACAAAGTTTCTTAGTTTGATTCCACCCATATCACCTCGACGTCCGTCGTTCCACAACTGAGTGTTTTTAATGCAGTTTTTGCCACGCACGGTATCAGTTGCCCACTATTAAAAAGTGTAGCCATACTAAAAAGGCCGGCAACGTACTTGCGAGCCCTCGGGCAATGTGTCTCCATTGGCCGCCGTATCACTTAATATCAGGTGAGCTTCCTACCCGTTAGTCTCCTACATATACTTTTTAACCAATGTTATAGAAATATGCAGTAAACCGGTAATAAAGCTTTATGGTTTCGCTACGAGCAAGAGCCATGTTTACTCAAAGCTAAGCCGCATAGCCTTCAGCAATACAATATCGCGTTCTGCAGTCGTCCCACCGACATGACAGTCATCTCCAAGAATTCCTCTTTGTAATTGGAATTAAACGGTACAAAAGTTACGCTAAGCTTTTTAAGTCATGTTAATGTTTTTTTTAGATCAGTTCTGAAATAAAATCGTAGTATCGTCAACGTGATACAGGTGAATATTGGGATAAAAATTAAACATTTGAATTTGGAATGCCATTTTTTTTAAATATAGTACCGTTAAAATCTGCACAGTGGTTTGATCTTAAAACCTATGGTCACATTTTTAGAGATTATAAATTGGTTCTTATATATATTTTGATTTTAGTATGAATACATAAACAATGTATGAGACATTGGACAATTTATCTTATCTTCAGTGTCCCAACCCCGGGGTGTGGATTCTAATTCGGTTATGGACTGATACATTTTTTATGTACACATGTTTGATAATGAATCATTAAGACTGCTATATCTCTGAAAAATAACGCGTGTTAGGCATAAAAAACTGATCACCTACATGGCTATAAAAAAATTATCAAATCAATCAATCTGAAGCAATTTGAAAGTTAAATACGATTATTATTAACAATCAACAAGAAGTCAATAATCAATTCGAATTTCAAATAATTGTCAAAGCATTTACTTATGAACACATAAGTATTAAGTGAACACGGCCTAGTCATTCACCTGTTAATAGAAATCTACATACTTTTGCGATTTATTGGCTATTTATATGTAACAATGCAGAATATGCAGGCGGCCTATTTCCATCGACATTCTCAAATTGCCGTCAATAGTTAACGATCTAGATGGTTGATACTGGGAAATCTTGATTCTGTTTTAGCTATGCCGCTAACAACATAGACAAATAAATTAGTGGACTGTAGAATTAATTCAATTTTTGCCTTTGAACAATCAAAAATCAAAGTATAATTTTATTGTACGTCACAAACAAAATAAAACTTCTAAATTTACATTTACTGCCAGTCCTCAAATTAAGGGCGAAGATGAGAAAAATTGGCAGTAAGCTCTCCGTCACTTTCTTTTTTTTAGAAACGAGAGTAAAAGACCTTATTACTTACAAACAAGATAAGAATGAAGAGATTTATGAAAATTCTGTGGTCTGTTAAGCTAAGGTAAAATATGAGACTTTTGTTTGAAGATTTATTACATTTTACTCAGCTCTGAAAGAATAAAGGACATCGAATAAAGAAACGAGCGACGCGTGTGTCTTTACAGTACTAAGGCATATTATGTTAACTATTTTAATCCCCGAAAGCTTCGTCATATAATCTAAAAAGTCGCGCGCAGCGTCAAACACATTGAAATCTCACCCAGTTATTTACAGAATATCAAGTACAATAACAGTTTCAAGAGTCCTAAATGAAAACATTATCATAGCAAAAGCAGGCACGAAGCGCACTTAGAAATCGCTTTTCATTTTAGTATGGTTCAAAATGCTATCAAGGTGTGCAATAATGCATAAATGTGTTGCATTAATGCAGCGCGTGGGCGATTCCGTCCACATTTCTATGATGAATCGGTCTCCACCAGACATGTTACGAAAGATCGCGATTTACATATAACCCACGAAATGTTATTATTTATTTTGACTATTGTTTAGGATGCCAGCTCCATAATAAGGAGTTTTGGTCTTTGGGATTGCCAAGCGACATCAGCGATACGGATAAAAATTTTTTTCGTGGGTATATCCTCCCGCGACGTCGCTGCCATCTGGTGAAGGGTTATGTGGGACTCGCTACTGTGATTAAACCCCACGGCACCACTAGCAATCGCCCCAAGCAGGACACGGTAACAGCGTAGCCTTGTCCACATCCCGCCACGCGATTAGCCGTTAAAATCAAGCCATAAATGATGTGGGAAGTACCTTGGAACAGGTAAGGCTATCGGATTGTTCGCCCTGGTTTGCAGAGCTGGGCGACGCGCATGCGTTGCGGGATCGACTTCCCTCTCTGTCTCTTCTTTATAGCGCATGACGGCTTCACATAAACTATTGATATCTCACGTGCCGTTACTGACAGTGCTTGTAACTGGTACTCTCTCAAAGTTAAAGAGTAGCGTCCTCCCCCTGTAGCACGCGTAGTATATGCCTCCTTTCCACCAGCCTTGCTGGACATCACGCTACGGATATTGAAAGAACAACATCGAACTAGAATCGCCGGTATCGCCGTCGTTTTGGACACGTAAGGCCTAGTTCACACGGCATTGTCCTGCACGTTTTTTTGCAGTAGTCGTCTTAACGAATAAATAGTGGCACATGTATTGTACATAAACCCATTCACACGGCGTTTGTACTGCAAAATATCGTTCACCGTTTATACGTTCAAACGAATACTCAACGGACTTGTCAAGCAAATCGAATGAACTTTAACGTTAATTCGGTTTAAAGGGGCACATAATATAGCTCTGTCTCGTTCTCGCTCACTGTGACAACTGTGTGAAGACTGTGGCTATTCGTATTTTACACTAATGAAAATCTACCATGTGAACACCCGGGTGAAAGTACGTTAAAAAAACGAATATGTAAAAGAAAACGTGCAGGACAATGCCGTGTGAACCCAGTCTAAGGCCACATACGCGATCCAGCAAATCCAAGCCGGCCAGGCAATCCAAGTATCAAATAATAAAATAATACCTACAGAGGGTAAAGTACAAGAAGTGCATAACTAATTACTTAACAAAAATTAAATTACATGTAACGAACTAAAACAAAACTACACTAAAATGCGAAAAAAAATAATATGAATATAGTAAAAATGTAAATCCTAATCTTAGCGTTAATAAGTCACAATTAATATATATATAAGTAGCTACGAGGTAGAAGATAAATACTCAAAAAGAAGATATCTTTAATAAATTTAAAGACAGAGCTCGTCTGATATCAAGAGAAGTTCCAAAGCAAGAGCACAGTAAAGGAGCAGTGATAGAATATTATATTTCCAATCATTGTTAACCCCGGGATACAAGTTTCGTAAATCTCTCCTTTTTGGTTTAATTATCGAGAGCTACAAAGCGCACTGAACCGGTACAATTAAGCAATATTACGAAACAAGTAGCCACGCAACGAAAACAAAGAGTTGTGCATAATCTTAGACAATGTACGGTCAAATGCTAGCCCTATTGCGAAATGTACATTAGTATGTCATGTGATAAAGAATGGCTTGCGAAGTGATTGATGGTGTTAGGACGCGTATACGCCCACGCGTTCGCTGAAAATAATCACGAAATTACAGTGCTGTGTCAATTGTGATTGAATAATATTACTTAGATACTTGCATAGCGTAAGTATGCATGTGTGTAAACACATTTATAGGAGCCATGATCTATTGAAACTATGTACAATTTTAGTTAGCAGCTAGTTCAACCCTGAGGTCGTGTGTTCCAACCAGCTAAACACTATACATACTTCTTCAGAAGAAAAACATTGTAAGGAAACCACCGATCAAACACAAAAAATCAACGGCATGCCCTGTAGAATCGTATCACCTAAAATTAATGAACCATATAAAATCTGGGCCAAGAATAATGATTTTGTAGTTCTTTACTAAAAGTCTAAAAATCGTGCTCTACTTACGAAATTAAGGCACTATACGAATAACATTTTAGGTCCAGTAACAAAGCACCTAACATACAACGGCAGAGTAATTTATTACCGGTGAAACCAAAAACATTGCTCAATTAAATTTTAAACAAATGTACGAAGCGTTAATCTTGTGTTGCTTGTACTGTTTTGAATTTAATGGCGCATCGCACGCGCTGCGCACGCGTCTCTAATGATCCACGGGCCGATTCCGCTGTTAGTTACGCCACTCATATCAGCTTTTAACATTGTAGCTAAGTTATTTAACCTTGTTCTATAGATATTTTTTTTTTATTTCTGAATCATTTAAGATATCGTTGTTCATTGGAATATTTGATTTATAATAATGAAATGGCGCTACAGCCCACAACCCTAAATAGGCCTTGGCTTTAGATTACATCCGATCGATCATTTTTATTTTATTAACAAGTAGGTGCCTTCTGTGTCTGACATATGTCATCAAGTTTTGAGTGTGATATATGTCAGTTTCCTCACGATGTTTGTCTTCATCGCAGTAGCGATTGCGTGCAAATAAAGAAAATTCCACTAGTGAACAGCTGTGATTCGAAACAAGGACCTCAGGGATGAGAGACGCACTATTAAGCTGGGCAATTACTGCAACAAATATTTCTCGTGTTAAATAAAAATTTATAAGGTATCCAAAAGGTGTATCAACAAGTAAATTCTATTTTCAAATTTCACCCAATTACTCGACAAAAGCTCCACAAAAATTAATCACAGTGCATCTCATCTCAATCTTCGCTGTAGGTAATATATCTAAAATTGAATCCAGTTTCATCATACAAACTATTATCTTAAATAAATAGTTGGACTATGTCGATATCATTAAGTACTGAAGGCCTCGCACGCCCATCAATCTTTTTAATAATCTTTAATCGCTGTTTGCTTTCATTTGTGGTCTCAATATCAAATATTTAAATCAGAGCTTAGTCAAACGAGAATTTAGCCTTAAAGCAATTTTATTTTAACAACACTTATTCTATGTTCTTCGTCTTTTGTTTCAAACATTATAGGTTATACAGTCGTTGGTTGAATTCTAAATTTTAAATAAACTCTTAACTAACATATGCCGGGCCGTGTCATCATGCTACCACCTTCAATTACTTATAATGAGTAAAATCCAGAGTAGATGGAAACAATCATGTGGATGGGTACTGGAAGAGTTGCTGCATCTGGCACAGCACACAAATTACAGGCAACCTCCAGTGATGGATAGGCAGCAAAAGAAGAAGAAATTCTCATTATATTTGAAGCGCATATTCAAACTTTCATTAATAATATACCACGTTATACGTACTAATGAAGAGGTGTAATTATTCCTTTAATTGTGTAACGATATTTTGGGATTAACCTTCTTCTATAATTACAAAATCAGCAACAAAAAATACCTCATATGTTACTAGTTCCAAAAATACTATTAAATTAAGAATCCAATTTCAAAAACTTTTTGCTACGGCCTCATAGAGATAACGATCTTGTTTGAGCGGTCCTAGAGTGCTTAATAAATACTAATGCATACATCTGAAGAAGCTATGTAATTAAGAACTGCGCCTGCGGCTCGCGTGACTCACAAATAATGCTTCTACATTTTTGACGGCTTTAATCATAGAGAAAATGACGTTTGACTTATGTTGTTTTAGTTTTATGACAATAGTATTTTTTTACTCGTAAGTAGGAACACAAAAAGATTTTTTTTTTAGTTTCTAAATATGAAACAAATCGGTGACACGAGTTGTAACTGTTTTAAAGACATGACTGCAGATTCTATGGAAAACGACTCGTAGTAATTACGTTTTGTTAACTGGGCGTTAGTCGAGGTTGCTTTTTTGTTGAAATGCTATGCTAAAAAAATCCGAGAAATTTTCATATGGTCTCATTAATTTATATTTTCATTTATCTGTTAAAACTATTAATTGAAAACAAAATATAATAATCATTTATCTTATAGCTTAGCTTTATTAACTTTTGAACTGACGGAATATATTTAATTAAAAAAATGTTTTATTAACCATGTATATAACCAAAATATATAAATAGAACAATAAACTAAATATAAAATAGTCTTATAAAAAATAATTAAATAATTAATATAAACTTGCTATAGAAAAATCAAATTCGAACATCTATGTTTTGCTTGGTTGACTGATCGAGTTTATTATGTCTACCCACAATTTGTTGCTGTATTTTTGTTATTTTTATATACGTACGCTCTCTGTGCGCTCTAACTATTAATTTTAGTTTTACATACTGTTACCCAGTTTGTGAATTTTGTATGCAATTATGAGAAATAACGTTATTCTTTAACCTAAATAAATAAATCCATCTTTAATCTATGTGCTTCATGCCTGTACTGACTTTCTACATTCATGATCATCATAGTTCAAATATGAAATAGTCTATGACAGACTATTTTATAAACCCGCCAAGATCATATTTAACTAGCGCGCACGCAACGAAATGCAAGCGGGCAATAAAACGAGCGTTCTAGTGGACACTAAGACGTTTACCGCATTGATGTAGTACCGCATCAGTTTCAGCTTAGCCGCAAAACCAAGATTTACTGTTTTGCAAGACATGCGCTTGATTTTAACGGCTTAAGGTGGGAGAGGTTGCGTATTTTTAACTGTTATAATTTTTGTCTTTGTTAAACTGTGTCCAGTTTGTGTTTCCACTATACCAACTTATTTTCTACTTAAGATCATGTATATAATAGATAAATAAAATAAAACCAATATTAACATTGAGTTTTATTATACAAGGGCTAATATTAAATATTTAAACAAGCAATAAATAATACCTGCAGCTTTTCAGCCGACGATGAGGCGAAATACGGAATTCCCCCTGTATCACCTCGACGTCCGTCGGATAACTGAGTTTGTGCTGCGCACCCTTATGTGGAACCAGCCACTCACTGAAGTATTTCCAATCCAACATAGGGTCCTTTAAGAAAAGAGCGTACCATTGTCCTGCTCAAAAGTAATACTACAACTCAGTCAGGAGCCCTCTGGCATTGATAGTGTCCATGGGCGGCGGTATCACTTAACATCAGGTATCCTGCCTCCTGTTCTATAGAAAGAAGAAAAAAATCACAGCGGTGAACATAACGTGTTATTACAATGAAGTTTTTTGACACTTCAGATAGTCTGGATTCTTCTAGAATTGATTCATGAAATGTCATAACTTATCGATTTCATAGATCTTATTAGCAAGTAAGTATTTCCATTAAAATATTTTTGTTCCATCTAGGATCTTCGCTATTGCATAGACGTAGATGTTCTAAAATTATCATTAAAACGCCACATCTTACAACCTGTTCCACGCCCCAAGGGCCGCTTGTGACGATTCTAAAGAGTACTTGTGCTATGTAGCTGATTGTGATGTATGATAGGATCGTGCAGATAATAACCGGCTAAGTTTCGATTGAGAGGCCATTATGTAAATCCTATTCTCGACGCTAACTTTAAACACGTAACGCTTATCTAAGTTAGTAAAATTCCTTAGTTATATGACCTTTGT